GGATAACCCTACATCAGTCCACAGTAAGCTTCTTCCATCATTTGTGTGACTGCATAGCATCCCAGTGTCTGAATTCACCGTAATTTACTTAAGCAATCTCTCACTGGTTGACATTTAGGTGATTTGCAGTTCTGCCTTATGACAACCAAAGCATAGGAACACACATATCCATTGTAGTAGATGTTACCCTTCGATGGAGGAGCAGCCATTCACACCCAGGAGCTCCATCCAACTGCTCCCTCCCAGTGACACGAGTGTGTGCACACATTCTTTTATCTTTGTTCAACTTTTTATAGGGAAAATTACATTCCATTGTACACTCTGATCAACTTTATGCAATAAAATACCCTCATACCTAGGGCCAGCCCATAGTCTCATAGTTAAGGAAGCTGGATCCCACATGGCTGTCCATGGTTCTAATCCCAGCCCTGGTAGCTTACAAAACGTGCTGGCACATGTGCATGCATGCCCAACATCCTGAAAGCATGGAGAAACGGGGGAGAAGGGATTACAGCATGACCACGCTCCACTGGGAGGTTCTCTCTCTCTCTCTCTCTCTCTCTCTCTGTCTCGTAAGTGTGTTTGCCCTCTGGCAATCAGTAATTCTGATAACAATAATGATAAATAAATATATCTCAATGAGTATTGACAAACTTGTGCATTCATGTAACCACAGCTACAATCCAAGAACATTTTAGTGTTGTGAGAAGTTCCCTGATACCCCTCCCTAGTAAATCCCCACCCTCAGGCCACACTGATCTGCTTTCTGAGGCTACCCCAGCCTAGTTTCTTTTTGTTTCTTTTAGGAATTACTTATTTTATTTTATTTATTTTACTCACTTATTTTAATTTGACCAGAAAGACACAGAGAGAGAAAGAGAGAAAGTGAGAAAGCAAGCCCACCAGTCCGGGACTCAAACCATGGTCGATCATGTAGGAGTCCAGCACCTCAACTACCACACCACTTACTGTCCCCTGCAGCTCAGTTTTAATCCGTAGTTCTCTTATAAGGAGGGAGGAGGGTCATCTTTTCGGGTCTTATGAGCTAATTCTTCTGTGAGCTCTCTGTTTACATCCTATATTCTTCTTGTTTTATTTCATTTTGTTTTGATCTTTATAGAAATTATGTGTATTTGAACAATTATCATCTGCAATGAGTCCCAAGTATTTCTTGACAATTTTGATTCATTTTCTTATTTTGCTTGTAATTTTATATAATCAAAGCTTTCATTCTTTTTTAGGCTTTCTAGATTTTATATCATACTTTAAAATGACTTCCCCATTTCAAGATGATAAAATAATTATTCTGGGGAACCAGCGGCAGGTGGCGGGTGGTTAAGGTTCTGGACTCCCATGGTCAACTGGGCTTCAAGTCCCAGATCTGGCAGCTTGACAATCATGCCTGATATGTGTGTGTGCGTGTCCAAATTCCCAAGAGAAGACTGGAGAAGGGATTGGGGCGTGGTCATCCCTCCTTGGGGGGTGATTTCTCATTTACGCTCTCTGCCTCTCTCCAGTGAGTACATGTGCCCTATGGCAAAAATAAAAAAACTTTAAAAAATAATGATTCTTTGGTGTTTTTTTCTAAGTGGTTTTATGCACCTAAGTTTTTGCTTTTAAATGTTGATCTATGTGAAATTTATGTCTTCAGTTGAAAGACATGGAACCAAACTTTTGAAAGACATGGAACCAAACTTTTGCCGTTGGGGTTAACTTCCTCAGGGCATGTCCCATTTATAGAATTTACCATCTTCCCTTGCTGACTTAATTGCTCTCCTGAATGAAAACAGAGCTGCCGAGGAATTTAGGTCTCCCCTAGTCTCTCTATTGCACTCACTGATGTGTCCAATGAGTCTCCATTACCGTTACTCCAAGAAGGTTTAACGTCTGGTCTGGTTACTTCAGGACACTCTGTTTTTCTTTCAGAATCGGCATGGCTATTTTGCTAGATTACTTCAAATCCACTTTGGAATCGGCTTGCCTAGCTCAGGGAGAAGTTTTGCCTAGGCAGTTCTAACGGGCATCCTGGTTAAGTAATCAAATATTAATAACCATTTTCATGACCACTCCCATTTGCAGTCTGTGTACTTTTCAGAGCAATTTCACTCTTTCACCCACCTGGCCTCCTTTGGGTTAAAAAAGACGACCGTCCAGTTCTACAGACACATGGAGGCAGCTCAGACTTACGGCCAGGTGTGCACAAGGACGTGTAGCCGAGACCCCAGCCAGACCTCCTCGGGGTCCAACCTCAGAAGCCTGAGGTCCTGGATACGTCTTGGGTTCCAGCAACTCCCAGCCCTCTACACACCACCACCGCCCTCCCACTCCAACCCAGACCCACCTCGTCCCGTCCTTTCTAGGAAGAGCAGGATCGCACTAGGTCAGCCACAAAGTGCTCGGGCTCTGGATACTGTGCTCCGCCCAGATCCGGCAATATCCCTGCTACTTGCACCCTGAACCCCACCCCACTCCACTCCCAAGCAGTGTCCCCCATCCCATGGAGAATTAAGGCATGAGGTGATGGTGAAGGTAAAGGGAACGAGCCTGACCCAGGTGGGCTTCCTCTCTCCTCAGCCATTTTTCTGAGGTCCCACCCTCTATTCAGCCTGGCTCTCCCTCCCAAGTCCTAAGAGAAGCTGGGCATGGAGGAAGAAGGGGTTGTGGGGAGTGGTCTTAAGAGACTGAGATAGAGAAACAGGGAGAGAAGAGAGAGAGCCCTCCTGCTGCAAGGGACCCTCCCCGAAGGGGCCACCTGGGCATGGAGGGCCTGTCTCACCTGGTGTCCTCTGGGTGGCCTCACTGCAGGCCTGGGCAGAGCGACCTGAAGCTGAGGTCCTGTGCTGGTGGGAGGCTGCAGGGGAGGGAGGAGGGCCAGCCTCCAGCTTCCAACGTCACAGTTTCCCGGCAAACAGCTGGAGCCCAGGGGCCCTCTGGAGGGGGTATCTGCTTTGAGTAGATGGCCAGGATGACTGGAGAAGGCAGAGCATATGCAGCCTCTCTCTCTCTCTCCCTCTCTCTCTCATGCACACCCACACTCACACTCTCACACTTCCTCAGAGAACACAAGGAGGTGCACACACTTACAGCACAGGCCAACCTTGTTCAGAAAACCTGGCCCAGCTGGAACCGGGGGCAGGCACCTCCCAAGGACCCTCCAGGTTGGTCAGCTCTGTGCCTCCGCCTGCCCACCTACCCTTCCTCTCTTGCTTCCCAGGCTCAGTGACCTCCTTGAGCTGAAAAACCCTAAAGGGGCCCCTTTGCTGTGCTAAATTCCTGGCAAGCCCCACCTCGGTCCTCTCCACCCTCCTGGCTCTGGGCCAACTTCCTCCTCCAGTTCTCAGCCCATCCTGCTTGCTAGCCCAGGCCTCCCACTCAGCACACTCACTCGGCAGCACCAGTCTCCGAGCGCAGATGGTGAGGCCCGCCCAGACAGGAGTCCCTTCCCAAGAGGCCCTTCTGCCCAGAACCCCCTGCCCAGCAGTTCTCCAGGGCCCACCCCTGCCCTGCCCTGCCTTGCTCCTCAGAGACCTCACCACCTCCCGGGCTTCCCTCAGATCTTCTGGGGAGGGAGGGTCACAGCATGGGAGCGTGACTCCAGGAAAGTGCCGGGGAGAAGGCCTGGCATGTCTCTTACGTGACACAGTCCTTCCCGGGCAGGGGCAGTCAGTGCTAAGCAGGGTGGAAAATGGGGTCCCAGTGGGGAGCAGCAGCTGCAGCAGACGTTCAGGGCAGCTGTTCTGGGAGAGGAGGCGTCACATTGAGGGCAGGGAGTGGAGAAGTGAGGCCCAAAGCCACCAGGAGGACGTGGGGGTTCACAGCGGACCTCAGGTAAAGCAAGGTTCCAAAGAACTCAGTGGTCTCCACAGCTGCAAGAAGGTGAGGGGGCAGAGGGGAGTGGCAGGAGGAGGAGTCAGGCCGTCCCGAGATACCCTTGAGAGGGGCTGGGATGTGGCTTTGGCAATGGGGGATGGCCATTCGGTGTCACTTAGCCCCAATGAACCCCGAACACCCTGGCTCCAGGGAAACCTACAAACACCTCCACCAGCGTTTCCTCCAGCTCTCGCTCCTTCCCCGCAGAAGGATGTCTGCAGACATGGGGACAGAAGACGGCAGAGAGGCGGCCCCGGAGGCCCCACAGCCCGTCCACGTCGACGTGCACATCCACCAGGAGTCGGAGCTGGCCAAGCTGCTGCTGACCAAGTGCTCCCTGCTACAGCCCCAGGCCCCAGCCCCAGGCACCTCCAACCAGCCCCCGTGCCGCAGCCGGCTGCTGGTGGCCTCTTGGGTAAGCTTGACCACCTGCTTTGAGGGGCCACTGGAGGGGAAGGCCCTCAGTCAAGCCAGGGGCCCCTCTTTTTGAGGCCATGCACTCCCTGCCAGCCTCTGAACAGGATGTCAGGCAGGTGGTATCTTCCTACTCAGAAGCCAGCTCTCCGGGCCAGCCCCATGGCCTGACAGCAGGGGAACTGAATCCCACATGGCTGACGGTGCAGTGAGTCCTGGCTCCTGCCTCTTGAAAAACATGCTGGACATGTGTGCGTGCATGCCCAGGTCCCGACAGGACAGAGAGATGGAGGAGAAGGGATTAAGGCGTGCACGTGCATCATGGCGGGTTTTTCCCTCTCTGTCTCTCTCTCTCCCTCTCCCTCTTTCTCCTCTCCCTGGTAAGCACACATGTCCTCCAGCAAATCAAAAAAGAAAAGAAAAGAAAAAAGAAAGAAATCAGCTTCTCTGGCCTTCTCACTACAAGCTTTGGGTAGGGTAGGCTGAGGGTAAGGGGTATGAAGGGGCCACTGGCCATTCAACGTCCCAACTGGTGGAAGCCAAGTGTCCTCTCCCTGCTCCAGACGCGGGATGGGCTGGCTCTCCTCGCCTGTTCCCCTCCCCTTCCTTCTCTCTCACGGGGTTTTAGCCATGAAAGCTGGAGTGCTGGGCTCACAGAGCCACCCTGAGACCTGGGGCAGAGGGCTGCTTCTGTGCCCAGGTGCCTGCAGCCAGGTTTTTGGTCCTGTGTCTTTCAGGTGGTGCAGATCGTGCTGGGTGTCTTGAGCTGTGCCCAGGGTGGATTTTTCTTCCTCTTCAGATACAACGCCGTGTATAGCTCTGGAGCTCCCTTCTGGGGCGGGGCTGTGGTGAGTGTGTGGAGGAGTGGGGACAGGGCTGGCCTCCTGTCAGACGGGACGAGGATGTTGCTCTTGCTGTTGCCCTCATGCCACCGGCTTGAACACTGTGCCACAGAATGCCAGCCCTCGGAAAGACCCCGATCACCCAGCCCATTCCCTGCCGGCTCACAGGAGAAAATAACCAAGGGAAGTGGTGGCACAGCCAGCGTCTCCTGGCCCAGCCAGCCCTTCTCCCACCTGCTGTGGTCCCTCCCCACCTCTAACAGCAGATATCAACTAAGAATCCAGGAGCCCATTCACTCCTAAATGCTGCCATGGAAACGGGGAGGGGGGGCAGAATGTACTGGAGAGTACACACTCCTCAGGGCAGTGCCCCCTCCTGGAACCCATTCACTCCTAAATGCTGCCATGGAAACGGGGAGGGGGGGGCAGAATGTACTGGAGAGTACACACTCCTCAGGGCAGTGCCCCCTCCTGGCTGTCCCCACTGTCCTCTGCAGGCCCTGCACACAGTGGGAGCCCAGGGACCATGCTGGCGGGTGGGTGTTGGAGCTTGGTGGCTGGCCACAAGACTGAGGGTCCCTTCAACAACCCCCACTCTCAGAACAACGGCAACACACACGTTTATCGAGAAAGAAACCCAAAGTCTTCCTCCTCCACCAAATGTCAAAAACACTCAGACTTGTTAGAGTATAGCCCAACAGGATTGGATCCGTCTGTCTACTGAGATCTATCGACTTCCCACCCTGCAAGCCCAGCTAGATGGATTGCTAAGCATTATTTGGACAGGCCCTGAGGCTGCCCGAAGACTCCTCTTGTATTGAAGGTGTCTCCAACAACAGAAAATGCAACACTCCCACCAGTTATCCTACCTCAGACCACAAAGCTTAATGCACAACCTTCAGCCCATCTAGAGCATGCTGGGCAAGGGCCGGCCGCACAGCCGCCCTATCAGTGGGGGTTCCACAGGGAAACACATCAGGGATTACAGGGGACTCGTGTTTTCTGTGCTAACCCTGCTCCCACCCAATCTCTCCTCAGGCGGTGCTGGCTGGAGCTACTTCCTTCATTTATGAGAAACGGGGTGGTATCTGCTGGGTGAGTTTGGGGCAGAGCAGGGGAGGGAATGAGGCACAGGCTGCAGCCACCCCCAGGCTCCTGCTCCTGCCCCATCACACGCTGCACTGGGCCTTGCCTCTCTCCCCTGGCTGGGGCTCTGAGAGAGACAGCCAGCCTCTGCCTCCTCCCCTCCCAGGCGCTGCTGAGATCCTTATTCGCTCTGGCAGCTTTCTCCACGGCCATTGCCACCATAGTCATTGGGACTGATTTTGGAGGTCTAATCTCCTACTATATTGCAAGCCGCTACTGCGGTAACTACACTTCGAGTTACTGGCCCACTGCCGCCCCCAGCACCAAGAGTCCAGAAGAAGCCAGAAGGCAGGAGCAATGCCTCTCCTACATGGACATGCTGCAGGTAGGTGGCAAGGGGAAGGGCGCAGGGAGGTGCAGGGAGGGCCAGCACAGGGAAAGGATGGGGCTCTCTCTCCATCACAGGTGGCACTACCTATTTTGCACCAAATCTGATTACCATCCCCAAAGACGCAGAAAGTACCAGGAGCAGCTCCTGCAGTGGGAGGCTGGGCAGACTAGTGGGAGTAAGACACTACGGTAGCGATGAAGTAACCAATACTGTAAGCGTGTGAAGTGCATGCTCTCAAGTCTTGGAGGTCACTGGGAAATCACATCATAGCCCCAACCTGTCCCTGTCTGAATGAGGACAGTGAGGCCCTATGAGCAGGGTTTCTGGCTCCATTCTGCACCCTGGAGGCACTGGCCCTCCTCCAGAAGCCACCAACATGGGGATGAAGAGGTGGAGAGTGGCCATGTTGGGGACCAGCATGGGCACAGAGCGGGAAGATAGCCATCTCTCTGGTGTCTGTGGCTTTGATCTTCTGTCCCCAGGCCCTGTCCATCAGCTGCCAGGCTATTCTCTTGACAATCTGGGTTCTGCTGCTCTTGGCATCTCTGACCCCTCTGTTTCTCTATTGCTGGAGAAGATTCAGAACTAAGGAGGTAAGTCCTACCGTGAGTGTCTGCATGTTTGGGGCAGCAGGGCTGTTCAGAAGAGGCAGCAGTGGAGAGTATTGGACTTGGGGAGGAGAAAGGAGCCTGTTACAAGCCCCAAGTGGACTCATGCCTGACTTTCTACCCTGTGCTAGTCCAGCCCAGAGAGCCCATGTCCCAGCCAAGTGGCAACCAAACCAAGGACCCCCAAGAGGCCAGGGAAGTCCATCCCCATGCTAGACCTTTGGGGCTCTGCATTGGCTGCCATGCGGCACCTGCTGGATATGCTGGCTCCTGCCTTTCCATTGGGGCTGTGCTGCCTCTCCCCTCTCCTCTTTTAGAAAAAAGACCAGAGGAAGCTGCTGGGAACAGGTGGGATCTAGCCAGCCTCTCCCAAGTTCTTGCGTGTGGCACACTCTGCATCTGACCCCTGGAAGAAGAACCAGCTGAGGACAAGAGACTCTCCAATGTGCAGTTATCCTTGCCCACGACCGCAGCCACCACCCTGCTCCTTCCAGCCATCACAGTGACTCTCGCCCATTTTGGCTTCTCTTCACCACCCTGGCCCATCTCACGTCCCCTTCTAAGCAGTGGTTTGGTAATAAACTCTCATGCTATTGCTCTCAGCTTCTCGCTTACTTGTTCCAGGGGAGTTTCTCTTGGTTGGGGGAGGCAGTGGGGAATGAATCAACAGAAACTCCAAGGTGTTCCTTCCACAGTTCCCCCGACTGCCTAACCGCCTCGCTGGACCTAGACCTGCTGGCCCTGGAAATACATCCTCTTTGAGGCTGGTCCCATGACTATAGTTCCAAAAGCCTGGGCATGGAGGATGATGGGAGTTGAGACTCTGAGCCCTGCTCACTACCATTCAGATTTGAGGAGGCAGAATTGGCCCCATGGACTAGTGGTTAAAAGAGCCAGATCCCCACATGGCCCATCACATGGTTCAAATCCCAGCACCAGCAGCTTGAAAAACACACAAGGTGTGTGTGTGTCCAGGCCCCAAATCCTGACAGAACAGAGGAATGGAGGAGAAAGTGTGGTGTGACTATGCCCCATTGGGGTGATTCCTTCTCCTTATCTCTCTGACTCTCTGGAGAGGATATGCACTTTGGCAATTTAAAAAAAAAATAGAGTTAAGAAGGTGAATGCTGAGCAATTTGAGAATTAAATTTTTTTATTTCGATTGTTTGAAAATTAAGAGGTATACAACATAACACCAAAATATAATCATTTTAGAAATCTTTTTAAAATTTTTTTAAAGGTCTTTGCTTTAGTACACGTGCACTTGCTGGAGAGAAATACAGAGACAGTGAGATGTAAAGTGTGAAATCACCCTCCCCCTGGCGGGTTGGCCATACTGCAATCCTTTCCCTCCATTTTCCTCTCAAGATCTTGGGCATGCACACACACGCACTCAGCATGAGTTTCAAGCCACCGGGACTGGGACTTGAACCATGATCAGCCAAGTGGGAGTGCAGAAATATAACCGCTACGCCATCTGCTAGTCCCAAATCTTTTCTATTTTTTAAATTTAAATGTTTTTTGTTTTGGGTTTTTTTTTTTTTTTTAGTTTTTTGCCATAGGACTTGTGCTCTCACCAGAGAGAGAGAGCGAGAGAGCGAGAGAGCGGGATTTTGGGCATGCAAGACATCATCCCAGGAAAGGCGATGCTGCAGCCCTTCTCCTCTGTTCTCCTCTTGGGATTTTGGGCATGCATGTGCCCAGCATGATTTTCAAGCCGCTAGGTCTAAGACTCAGACTTCAGTTGGCTCATACTTCATACTTCTCATGGGAGGCCAGCACCTTGACCATCACACCACCTGCTGGCCCCTAGAAATCATTTTCTTTAGATAGGAATCCAACTATATAGTGAAATGAAAACCATTAATAACTGTCTCATGGGGGAACCAGCAGTTAGCATAATGGCTATGTCGCTGGACTCCCACGTAGTCGACTGCAGTTCGTGTCCCGGACCCAGTGGCTTAAAACACACCGGGCGTGTGTGCATGCGTGCCCAAGATCCCGAGAGGAGAATGGAGGAGAAGGGATTGCGGCGTGACCATCCCCCGTGGGGGGTGATTTCTCGCTTTCTGTCTCTCTGTCTCTCTCTGTCTGTCTGGCAAGCGCACACGCCCTATAGCGAAAAACCTCTCAAAAAAATAAAAATAAAAAAATAACTGTCTCATGGCACAAATAGTAATACATTGTTCAAAAGAAGCCAGTCCCATGGTTACTATGGTTCCCATCCCTGACCCAGTCAGCCTGAAACATGCCAGGCATGCACAGAAGTGCCCAGGACCCTACAGGCTGGAGGACCAGAGGAAAGGGACCACAGCATGACCAGCCCTGTGGAGGCTGCTCTTCTCTGTCTCTCACTGTCTCTCTCTCTCTCACACACACAAACACACACACACGTGCTCACACACTTTATCAAGGATAAAGGAAAAAAAAATAACTCTCCTGGGCCAGCAGGTGGCATGAAGGCTAAGGCAGCTGCATCCCACATGGTCGAACGCACAGTTCAAGTACTGGACCTGGTGGCTTAAAAATCATGACAGGTGTGTGTGCTTGAACCCAAGATCCTGAGAAGAGAACTGAGAGGGAAGGGATTGCAGAGTGGCCATCCCCTGGGAGTTGATTTCTCACTTTTCTTCTTTCTCTCTCTGGTGAGTACACATGCCCTATAACACACACTAAAAACAAAACAAACTAAAAGAACTGTCCCATGAAAAAATACCTAAGACTGCTCGATAAAATATGGATCATATATATTTTTAATTATTTTATTTTACTTATTTATTTTATTTATTTTTATTTTTATTTGACCAGAGAGGGACAGATTGGGGGGGGGGGAGGGGGAGAAAGAA